GGATGGCGCGGTTAATGAATTATTTAGCGGCGAACGAATGGGCGCGTAGGGGCGCGAGAAAAGATTGGCGACCAGGTGAGGTGTCTGATCGGAATTCTGGAAACGAGCGTGGCTGCTTTCCGAGCTCAGCCAGACGTCCGAACCGTACGCTGGACGGTGTTTGGTTTCATCATCGCGTATCTTGGACGCCCGCGGCGAATAATCGCCCACGAAGATTCTACACGGGCGAAATTTACGATTGGCCACGGTGCAATTCACCCACGGAAACGGACCATCGTTCCCAAATAAACTCGGGTAAACGGCTGCCGATGAATCGGCCAATCTCTCGTCTCTACGTGTGTACACGTGTGTTGGACACGCGCGACTTGCTCTCCTTCCACCTCCTCGTCCTCTTTCTCCAGCCACCTAGTTTACCGCTTTGCCAGTAAACAAATCGTTCGATATAAATCCCGATCTCGTTAATCTCGAGCGAATCTCCCTTACTGAGATCAAAGCTCGAGATTTAGAAGCGTCGACGTGGACGTTTTCCTTCCCTTTTCTTTCCTTTCCTTTCCTTTTCTTTTATTTTCTTTTCTTTTCTTTTCCCTCTCGAATTCTTTCGCGAAAACGAACGAGATCTTTAACCGAGATAAAACGATAACGAATTACGATTTTCCACTCGGATCGGATCGTTGGATAACCGGATATCGAGGTTATTTTTCGCGTATAAATAAACGCGATAGTGAGTGGCAAGGGGTTTCGCGAACGTCGGCCGGCCATCGAAACGAAGAGACGACACGGTCGGTCGGTAACGGGGCGACACGGTTCGTTCAGCCGTGTAATATCACATCGCGCGTCGTTGCTCGAGTAAAACTTTTCGATCGTCGTTGCCGACAAACAACGATGTTTCGAGGGAAAAGCGGAATTAGCGAAGGAGATGCGAAAAAACAAAGAAAAAGGAAAAGGTGAACGGCGATTTTCGTCTCGGTCAACGACATCGCGTTGTCTCGCGACCGTGTGCGCGCGTCAACGACCACGCTCGAAATACCTGCCGCTCGAGAAGACGCGAGAAAAAGAAGACGAAGTTCGGTCGATCGGTAATTCGGTAAATTTTCGTCTCTTTCGTTCGAAACGGAATGGAAAAATCTCTTTCTTTCCTCGCTCCTCGATTACCCGTCGGATCGCATATACCGGATCGATTTACGTTTCGCCAATCGACAAAATAATCTTCTAATTGTCCGATCTTCTAATTGATCGATTGATCGATCGGTCTCTCTTTTCCTGCGATCGTACAGGTAAATAAAAAAAAGATACCTTCTACCGATTTTTCTAAATCTTCTAGATTCTTCTAAATTCTATCTTATCGACTGATAAAAATACTAATACGATACGATATGAGAGGAGGGAAAAGCGGTATTCAAAGGGGAAAGATTAAGTAGAATCTTGCGTTTCTCCGCGATCCGTCCTCTTTGATCCGCGCACGGAATCGTAACTCGTTTGACGAGGCCGCTCGTAAACGTCCGCGTATACAGAGGCAACGAATCGTTTCCACGCCGCGACTCGTCATCCGTTTCGTCGCTCGTTTAACACCGCCGTTCGCCGTGTCGAATAAAAATAAGCGGATGACGGATCGCGACCATCCCTCCAACCTTCCCTCCAACCACGGCCAATTAGCCGCGCCACGAAAATTAGCCTCCCTCCTTTAAACGGTATAATACCAAACGGTCGCTACCTTTTCGTAGGATCCGTCGGGAAACAAACGTTGTTGGCCAAATTAATCGATGGCGAAAGTGAAAAAGAGATCGAATACGAAAAGAGAGAGATAGAGACAGAGGAGGAAAGGAATGGAAAATCGATGCGAGGCCGAGCGAGAATATTCCGCCGTTTTACCTTGGCCGGGAAGATTGTAATTTCACGAACCGCTGCCGCCACTTCGCTCGGCATCGGGATCGGTGGATAATAACGTTAAACTAAAGCAACCTCCGTCGTAAGTGGATAATTATCCTTTAGCACCAGCTACCTACTACGGCGTCGTTATTATCTCGACCGTAGGAAGACGCGGCCGGCTTCGTTTTAACGAATAACACCGCGAGAGGAGAGGAGAGGAGAGGAGAAGAAAGAAAAAGAGGGAGAATTAGCGTCGCGCGCGCGATATCGGTCAAATATCATTACATCGAAGATTTCATTTTTCTTCGAGGAAAATGGTTGTTTCTTTTTTCTTTTTTTTCTAAAAAAAAGCATCGCGCGTGTTTCAGAGAGGGAACCGAGCGTTTCTGGCGTGGTCCGTGGTGGCGCTGCAGCTCCTCCCACGCCGATCCAGGAGGCGATCCTGGCGGAAGACGATCCGGAAACGGACGACGCCGGAAGTAGCAGCGGCAAAGTAGCTTCCCCCGTCAATCCTCTCCTCCAGGAACGGTCCAACTGCGAAGAGCTCAGACACGTGGCGTGTCATCTCGAGACGAAAGACTTGTGGGACAAATTTAACGAGTTGGGCACCGAGATGATCATCACGAAAACTGGCAGGTAAGAGTGGATTTCATCCTAATCAAATTCGCATCCTTTTCTTTTTTTTTTTTTTTTTTGTAATACGATTACGTACATAATTTTTCTCCTCGTATTGGGAAAAACTAGAGCGAGTGAGAAGAGGGAGGGAGGGAGAAAGGAAGGAAGGAAGGAAGGAATCCGAGTTTCTAGCTTCTCTCGTCCGCGAGGCGAGTTCGATTCATTAACAAAGGACGGGTTGATAAATAAAAGCATTACTCACGCTCGTGGCGCTGGCCGGGATGAATGCATACCGGAGTCGACAAGGACTCCGTAGGAGAAGACCGTAGATAAGATCGGCGGGTGTCCCCGCGTTTTAGTGGTCGAGCAGCGGGGGGCCCGCCACGGTATTAATGTTTGGCCTCCGCGGCAAAACATTCACGCCCGCCTTCGCCCTCTCTCTCTCTCTCTCTCTCTCGCCTCGGTGTCACGACACCATCGCGGTTATACTTTTATATATATATATGTATATATATATATATCTATATGTGTATCTTCTTTTTCTCTCTCTCTCTTTCTCTCTCTCTTTCTCTGTCTCGGCAGAAGGATGTTCCCGACCTGCAGAGTGTCGTTCAACGGATTGAAGCCGGACAGTCGATACGCGGTGTTGATGGACATCGTCCCCGTGGATAACAAGAGGTATCGATACGCGTATCACCGAAGCTCCTGGCTGGTAGCGGGTAAGGCCGATCCACCGGCACCGGCCCGCCTCTACGTTCATCCCGATTCCCCGTTCACGGGGGAACAGCTTCGAAAACAGGTGGTCTCGTTCGAGAAGGTCAAGTTGACCAACAACGACATGGACAGGCACGGGCACGTGAGTATCTGATGGTAGTAGTGAGTGGTGATGGTAGTAGTAGTAGTTGGACCGATAACGTTAATCCGCGCGTCGAGCGCGATCACGCGTGTGTATATATATATATGTGTGTGTGTGTGTGTGCGTGTCAAATGTTCCGTTCGCAGTTGGTGTTGAACTCGATGCACAAGTATCAGCCGAGGATCCACCTGGTGAAACGACCGGACTCGGGCACGGCCAAACCTATAACGGACCTCGAGAAGGAACCTCACAAGACCTTCATATTCCCAGAGGCGATATTCACCGCTGTCACCGCCTATCAGAATCAACTCGTAAGCGTCTCTTCTTCTCTTCTTTTTTCTTCATTCTCTTCTTTCGTTATTCCCCCGATAATTTCCAACGCGCAACGTTCCTTTGGATTCCTCCTTCATCTCCTCCTCCTCCTCCTCCTCCTCCTCCTCCTCGGTGGAGGAGCGCACGCGCGCGCAATCGTATTTTACGATAGTCGTTTAGCAGCGACCGCCCGGTGTGTGGTCTCGGTACTCGCGCGGTCGTTCGCATTCCACGGGCGTCGCGATGCCCCGACATTTTCCACTTTGGTGTCTCCGTTTCGAAAAAGGCAAAAAAAAGGAAGGGAGAAAGAGAGAGAGAGAGAGAGAGAATCGTTTCAACGATGATGAGGTGCGAAGAGATGGTCCGTGGCAATTATCTCTTTGTCCTCTCGTCGCGATAGAAAATAATAATACGAGGCGACGACGATGGTGGTGTGGTGACGGTAGTGGTGGTAGTGGTGGTGGTGGTCGATCGTCGAAGCGAGAGGTGAAATTCATTCGTCCCGGTTGGCGAGCGGTCGGTAGCGGTTCGTCGTTGTCGCGTTGTCCTCTCTTTCTCTCTCTCTCTCTCTCTCTGTCTTTCGTCTTATTCTTCGCTCGCGTCTCTCAGCGGTGGGGTAGCAGCAGGCTCGTTTAGCAGGGACCAAAGTTTTTTTCCCCCTACCAAGCCACTTCCCGTGTACGGAACGGGACGAAGACGACGACGACGACGACGTATCATCGTTGCGGACGGTTTTTGTCCTCTCGCCGGCTCCCCCTCCTCCCTTCGCCTCGTACCATCGTAACGACCTCCTAACACCGTCTCGATTCCTCTTTCTCGCTCGCACGCGTCATAATTCAT